GTTTATGGAGGTCCATGGAACTTTAGGTTGGTAAACTGATTTTTCTGAAATCTTAGGTGATTCATCATCAAAAAGTTAATTATTGGTTAATTATCGTGCATGGGATTGTATTAATTACTATTAAAAATATAAGTGCATCAATGTATTCTTCTCCTTTGCATTTATATATATATATATATATATACTTGTATTTATATGACATTCAAACAAACTCTCACAGTGTAACAAATATTTTTTTGAATTGTAACATTTTGTTAGTTGTGCTAAATGATGTTATTTTTATAAAAGTCAGACTATATGTACCCTGTGTTTTCAAGTTGCGGTCGAAAATATAAACAAGATACAGATACATTTCGTGAGGTAAAGGGGGTAACGTATTTTGGGGAATCCTAAACAATCCAGCATATAGCAGCATGGTGGAAAATATCAGTGATAGTAACTTTAAATTTCTGTTCATTTAAAAGTGATTGACAGTTGAAATGTGCATTGTTTAAGTTGGAGTAGAGGCTGGCATATTTCTTGCTTTAATACTTATCTCAAGTTTAAAGTCAGTGTTTTGGAAGTGCATCATCTCTTTCCTTGTCGTAAATGGTACGAATGAACACTAAACGCGCTACCAAGAATTTATAAGATAAATGTATGCAATGAAAATGCAAATCTGAATTCACCTGAATTACGAAATGATCACAAATCACAAGACAAATGTACATTTTTTAGAAATAAAAATTAGGGAGTCTGTGAAATAACCGGGTAGTGTTCATCTGTGGACATTTTTTTGCTGATAATCTTGTATATTTCTGCTGATGTGATCAAACTTTATTTTCAAGCGTCCACTGCGTTCTATCATGCCATTTGGTTACATTAGAGTAACACAACATCTTTATTGTGTGTCATCAGATATTTAAGTTGTATATCTTGTAAATCTCTGTTGCTACTTGTACTACCGGTACTTTATTTCTCTAAAATTCCTTGCATAGTATTACCTACATTTTTATGTTATAACAGAACTATTTCAGCATTTGTTGAGAAAATAGCTTATTGATTGTTCTTCACTGATGAAATAGTTTTTTACATGTAAACCATGAAAAAATGTAAATATGGTTCACAACAATTTTAATGTTCTGTATAATATCGTTAGCAAAAATGGACATCTGTGTGGTCAGATATTTACAACTGTGTGTAGATTTAAATTTTCAAGCTCTACCATTTTTGAAAGTTAAAAAAATCTTCATAGTATACATCAGAGTCAGTTCAATCAGTTTTAGGTTTTCAATCTTTCATATTGTATTAAAATATTTGAAAGTTCTTAAAATGTGCAGTAAAATGGGGTATGAACCGAATCAGTAGTTGCAGCATTCACCAAACCTTCAATCTTGGCATGAAACTGTTTTGAATACCGATTTTAATTGCTCAACTATTACTAACAACTAACCTAGTGATGTTAGGAGGGGGGGGGGGGTTGAATGCATTCAGGAAAACATAAGAAGAGGGCGTTCTTAGCAAACAAATATCCTACGAGGAATACTTTGCATCAAATTATGATGAATTAAAGCCTTAAGAAAATCATTAGCCAAAAATGTTTGTATGCAAATGAACGTTGACGCCCTAAGATGGATGCTGAAAACTCAATCACAGCAGAGTTATTTTCGGCTATTTGCAAACAACTTCTGACCCAGATATCTCGGTATATGGCGCACACTACTTTATATTTCAAAGGCCATAAAACATCCAATAATATAACTTTAACCATCAGAATCATATTATGATGAAACGTACAACTGCCGTCTTTGTAAATACATGTAATGCACAACTGCCAAATTTATTTTGCCAATTAGTTTAAATTTTTAATTCTAATACCATACTAAAGAAACTGCAACCGTATCATTCATTTAAATTTGTCTTTTGATTGTGGTAACTGTTGAATTCAACAATGAGACCATCTAGCATTGAAATGCTATATTTGCACAGATAAAATCGTGCATGTCCAGTTTAACTTTCATTCAAACTTTATGATCATACATTGTGGGATATGTTGGTTTTGCAATCCTATTCTCGGGTGCCATGTGGGAGCTATTTTAATGAAGTCTTCATTCAAATTTGGTACATACTTTGGATATAATTGGACTAAGGTTTTAATTGACAGATCATGTTCAAATTGACACATGCCTTTGTTTCAAGATCTAATTCATCAGATTGCAAAATGATACCAATTTTAAAGCTTTAAAAAAATTCTGCTCACATAGCAAAATTTTATTAAAATTTGGAACATTACAATACAATGTACTATGGTGCATGTCATTTTGCTTTTAGATTGAATCTATTTGACTGATGGCAATTTTATTTTAATAAATGCTGTTCTAGAGACTTGTGATCAACATGCCTTAACCATTCACATTAAAACTTTAATACATCATGTCGCACAAGAACAGATGGCCAATTCAATGTCCTAATTGCATCCATTTTAAAGCTAATACTGCATCAAAGTCTAGCATTTCCACCATCCCAGAACTGAAACAAATAAAACTCTAGACATGACATACATTACTCCCGTTAGTACTAATTCAAAATGGCCGACTTGTTTCAGTTTTGTTCTATTGCACGACTGTGATTTGTATAAATTGTGTTGCGTCTCATTAATCTTTTATTTTATTAATATTTCTGATTCGACATTCTGGTCTTCCCTAATGTGTGACCACTTGTTTTTCTTTACACATTGTATGTTGGGTTTTCTGAGTGCCTCTCTACTGAGCTCACATTTTTACCCGTAATATCTGTAAAATTGATAAGTATATGATACATCCGTAAACTGTGTTGAACATTATTATTCATACTAGTGCTGCATATTTGGTTTTTTCACTGATTACACCAAATTCCTGATGAATAAAAAGTGTAAGTCTATTGTTGAGCGTTTAATGCCTTGGTTTGACTAGACTTTTTTTTAGTCATAACTAGTCGCTGTAAAAA